GAGGTGACAAAGGCATGGACAAGGGTTTCAGCAGCTTTTGGGGTGAGGTAATGTCAGAGACAGGCAATATGGCACATATCAACCAACTTTATGATTGAAAGGTACGAGCGAGGGAGAGAACAAATGAAAAAAATTGCATTTTAAATGTATAAATGTTGAAATGACTCAAAGCATTTTGCAGTGGTTACTGTCAAAGAATAGTGACTGTTATTGAATTTTGCAAACAGCAACGTCCCACAAATAGCTATGAAGTGAATAATCAAATTATCTGGACAATATTTTTGGCCAGGACAGTGGGAGAAATTCCCACCTCTTTTCAAATGGTGTTGCATTGACATCTCATTAGAATGATAACACCTCCAAGAATGCACCACACCCAATACTCACTGGAGTGTTAGCCTAGATGATTCAAGTCTCAAAGTGGGAGTGACTGCACAATGCTCTGGCCCAGAGGGGAGAGTCCTGCCAACTGGACCAAATTGACACTAGCTGGGAATGTATCCACACCCTATAGCACTTCCCATTTGCGCAACATTTGTGNTTTTTTCTAGATTGTTAGACTAGTTTAACCCTAATCCTAATGTGGCCTGGAGGTGGCTGGAGGATAGTTACATGGAGTGATATAGCATGGAAACAGAGTATTCAGACCAACCAGATGCTACTGGTGTTTATAGTCCACACAAGAAGCCCTCATCCCTCCAATTCCCTTCTGCTATACCCCTTCTACCTCATGTATCCACCCAAGTTTTCTGTTAAATACATTGATGATTCTTTCCGCAATCACAGCTTCTGGCAATGCGTTGCACGCATTCTCACTATTCTCTGAATGACAAAGTTCTTCTTTCCCTCCCTATTAGATTTACATTATATATATTATTATTATTATCTACTACTATCTATATTGTAGGTATGTCCTCTCATTTTAGCGAAGAAAAAACACGTTATTGAAGTTCATCATCTTAAACACCTCTATCAGGTCCCCTCTCAGTCACATCAACGCGAAAGAGAAAAACTCTGACCTGTTCAATCATTCTTGAGACCTATATTCATTCATCCCTGGTAACATCCTTGTAAATCTACCCTGTACCCCATCCAATGCTAGAATAGCAGTGTTAAGGATAATTTTTATATTTTATATAAAGCATCACATTTGTCAAGGTATAGAATTTATCTGCAGATTGTGGAATCTGTTTTCTCTTCTCTTGTTTTCCCTAAGCCTAATTATGTAACCTGTCACAAGTGATTTTCCTGAGTTAGTATATTGGTCTACTCAACCTCAACGTGTTGCCTTAGTGCCACTCCTAGTTCATTTTTAGTTATGCCTCATTTAATGCGGAGATGGATGTCAAATTTGTCTGAATTTATATGTGAATCAGACATCTGTTTTCTTGCTGTTTCAAAAAACTTTCACGTTTTGTACTCAGGAACAGTTTCACAAACCAGNTTTTTTTTAGAAAAACTGCTGCTATAGGATTGTCCTGAAAATTAGGATTGTGGGGAATTATGGAAAAGTTTTAAATTCAACCATAATTCATGAAGCCACTTTTCCACATTTATTAAAGAAATGCCAAAATTCGGATATAAAATAATCCTTGCAATTGGTATCGTGCCTATAAATTTGTTTAATGTCAAGAAAATTTCAGTGTTCAGAATTTCTGTGACGTGTAGGGAAATTAAACTAAATTCAAGATTTTTCCAGTAATCTGCACAATCTTAATTTTTAAAACAATGGTTTAAGACTAAGATCATGAGATATTTTAGGATGCAAGTTGGTAGCCCTGAGAGACAAATACTTTATAATTTTTGCTTGGATTTGTTGAGGTCCTCAGTGTCTGCAATAAATACTCTCAGGCCAGGTATAAATGCAAAGCTAAGTTCCCTCTTACTGTGCCTGTGTAGTGTGTGAGAGCCCTAAATTACCGTAACAACATAAGATTTTTAACTTCCTTTTCAAACCACCCTATGGCCTCTCTGAGTGAGAATGCCAAATTAAGCACAGTTCGTGCTGTGAACATTTGCCCACTAGGAACTGAGAACTGGATTGAGTTTGGCCTAAACCTATTCATATGAGATCCCTAAGTAATAGGAGAAACTTCCACAGCATCAATCTGGGCTGAATTTGAGATGTTTGCAAAATTTTAATATAGCCCTCCCACCCTTTGGACAAGGTAATTCAGAGGAAAATTGTCTGAAAGTGTATTGGCTATATAAGGCTATATATTGACAGATTTTCATTTTGAGTAATAGATTTCAGAAGTGAAACTGATGCCTATTTCTCTGAGCTGGTCAATCCTAAATTACACCTCACACCTGAATAAAGACATAAGGAGAGAAGGAGAGGGAAAGTATTACAAAGAAAAAGAAAAGTTGCACCACTCCAGTAGTCTACAAAATACAGTCACTGCATTTGACAGAACATCTTGTGAAGTGATTTAAAACTTCCTCCTGACGTGAAAGGTGATATATTAAATGTAAGTTTTATTAATTTATTTAGTCTGTCTACTGAAACTCTGACCAGACTATAGAAGACCACAATAGCAGGTTCCTGCTGTTTTTGTTAGTAATCAAACAGCTCTTACAGTCCCTTTCTATGGCATCTTTACCGCTAATGTAGTATGATATGGATTTATAATGCTATAATAATAAGCCTTGCATTTGGTGTAGTGCCTTATCAATCTTCGAGACGTTTCAAATCGCTTCACAGAATATACTGTAAAGTGAATTGACTATATTTTTTGTGGGCGAAACACAGCAGCTAATTGCCAACAGCAGTGTCCCACAAACAGTCATGGATTGAGTGACCAAATTATTTTCACTATAAACTATAAACTGATATTTTAATACAAGTCTTCCAATTAAGGTTCATGATTTGGGATCTCAGCAGTTGGTCACGTCACTTTATATGCCATAGCAAATATAATAGCTGATTTTCTTTAGGTTTGCATGAATAATTTGATCATATTTCACTCTGAAAAGCACAGCATCGTGACTTTTCAATTGTAGCTTTCTTAATTTCGCAGCAGCTCTTTCATTCAATACCCACTGTCATTGTTACTTTCTGCCGCCCACACTCATTGTGTACAGCTTCAATAATTGTCCCATCTGGTATCTTGATAAAAATGAGAGTTAGGTTATGGTGTACAGCTAATTATAATATGAGCTTTGTTCCCCCTTTTTTTCCAGTTTGAAAACCCAGGGTATTTTTAGAAACATATCAAGACCAATTGGAAGACATTGACCTGATGGACTAAATTTCCTTCCGAGCTTTGTTCTTTCATATATTGAAATCAAAGCTTTTGATATTTCCTAAAATTAGCTGAAAGCTACAATTAATTTTTCCTTGTTGGAATGTATTTCCAAGGTGGACATTAAAGATCCTGTAGCACTATTCGAAAAGAGAAGGGGACATCATGCGTGGCCCAGCCAACAATACTCCAGATAACTTAAATCATTCACTTTAGTGGCTGTTTGTGAGACAATGCAATACACAAATTGGCTGCAGCGTTTGCCAACAAGATACAGGCTTTTATAGTAAATCCTGTGAAGCACTTTAAGTCATTTTGATGATATGGTAAATTGCTATAACAAGTTTGAGGATTATTATTTATTATTTAAAGGTTGGTAGGCTGTCAATTCAGGCTAAATATTGAATGCTTGGAAACTTATCCATTGAAGCCAGGTCAGACTGAGCAAGAAAACGTATCAGCCTGATGGAAATGGTAGCTCTTTCACTCCTGAATCAGGCATTTTGGAGTTCAAGTTGAGGTTTTGAGCTCATACTCTGTGCTGACAGACAGATAATTCAAAGTGAACTGATAATTCAAATGGTAAAAGCTTTTAAAATACGCAGATGAGGGAGAAATACTTGGTTCAATATCTTCCATTGATGATACTTTACCAGTGATGGTAGTATATTTATGGTTTAGTTTTAAATAGGATATTTGCACTCATTGCCAAGGAACTACTGGATATATTTTATGAATGTGAAAGATGTTTCAAACTGGCTGCAGCTCAGTAGTTAGAACACTCGCCTTGCAAGCAAGACACCTGGGTTCAATTCCAGGCAGGGCAAAACCTTGGGCAAGTTTCCTTACTCCATATGCCTAATAATAATCCGTCCAAAACAAAACAATAATAAGATGGTCATTTCATTCCATGACTGTTTGTGGGACACTGCTGGGCGCATTTGGCTGCTGCATTTCACCCACAAATATACAGTCCGTTTACTTTACAGTATATTCTGTGAAGTGCTTTGAGACGTCTATAAGACGTAAAAGCGCTATATCAAATGCAAGGATTATTATTATTATTATATATAGCATATTGTTCTTAATATGTGGGGTTTTTTAACCCCTAAATTCATTTTATATTTGTTACTCGCCTTAAATTGACAGACTAACCAAAACAAAATGCTGCTGTTCTGTCAGATACTGCCAAGAAACTCCTGTTACACCCACTCACTAGAATCACAAAATTGCATGCAAACATGCGATACTAATGGGGCAAGGATTTGCCCAAATAACAACTGGATTGTTTTTGGCCAGTAGCAAGAAAGTAAGTGTAAGTGAACAATTAGAGAGAGGAGGGGAAACCGAGAGCGAAAGTCATTCGGAGGCAGTGACAGAAATAGAAAATGAGAGAGTTTGAGAAACGGTTAAGAGACACGAAGAGATAGGGAGCAGGACTGGCACAAAATTATATCATAAAAAAGCTTCAAGTCATGTTGGCCACAGTGCTGGTTGTTAGAGGGATTTCACAACAGTGATATTGTCTTTAGTATATTGTCTCCAGTGTCAGTTAAACAGTGAGTTTATTTTTAATATTTCAATCAGATTATATCAATTTTTGAAATTTACCAGACAATTCTCATCCTATAATTGCTTCAAAAAGATACTGTGGGTTACCCATAGGATTGTTCCTTTAACTGACTGTTACGTGTATGCAAGTGATATTGATAAACGACATTTCATTCCAGTGTTATTTTTGATTTGTATTTACAGGACACTGATAACCGGCATGGCTTCAGGAAGTATCGTAGCTTTTAACATAGATTTCAACCGGTGGCATTACGAACACCAGAACAGATACTAAAGCAATTTCAAGGAAGGCTGAAGTGTGATTGCCAGTTCCAGCTGAGAGCACAAGTGCTGCAGTGAGTGCCCCAGGTACAGGCGATGGAATGTGATGCCCTCTGCATTGACCTCTGTTGTACATTCCATTACACCCAGCAATAGCTGTACATTGTATTCTTTCCATGTAAAACCAATCACAATGTGTTTTTCCTCCACAACTGAGCACCAGCTGGAACAAAGAAATGTTGTACTAATTTACGATTCCGTGATGTAAATCAGATGAAAGGAACCACGTCAGGGTAATTAATATTTCCAGGTAACTTTATTTATCGATGGTAGTAGTATCAAAGAAAAACGTTTCGTCTGAACAAGTTATCCAGATATTATTTTGAGCTTTGAGCTGTGGGAGACCTCTCAGAAAATCGTCATCACCCTTTCATTTTTTTGCAGTATCCAAACTGTGAAGCGAGAACACATTTTATATGTTAAATGGATACTTTTATTTTAAGAAAATGAACCTGTATAAGAAGAAAATCAATTACAAAGTTCCATTGTACAAGGACTGTAAATCCAGTGCATTTGGTCCAACCCTTTGGGTATTTCTTCAAATAGCTGGTAGATCTTAGCGGAGAATATCTGATGTTGATCAGTTCATTGACTGTAAAGGACTAATTTAACCTGACCATCTGATTTTACGGTGTGCAGTACGAGCCTCATTCTATGCTGTGTCGCATGCATATTCTCAACTTGAAATTCCAGTTTGGTTTCTGTACACTGTTCTAGGTTATCTTAATGAGATGAATATTGTGAGATCTTGGCTCTCCAGCTTATAAACTACATTTTCAGCTTTCCTAGCGGGCACAAGAAGGGGAGAACCTTGCTTCTTTTTTAATAAAAAAACTGTAGCAAAGATCATTGTCAAAGAAATTTCTGGCACATTATTAGGATTAAACACACACACACATACACACACACACGCGCACACACTACAGGGGTTTTAAAAAAAAATCACTTCATGTTTTCTTCTTTGTATATTTGGTGACTGTATTGTCAAATGTCATAGATGTACATATTGTGTTGGTAGGGCTAAGAGGCATGTAACAAGAATGTAATTTCCCCAGAAATTACACTCACTTTCAGTTTATTTAAGAAATAATTATTGGATTCTTTGTATTGGCACTTTGCACCAGATACATATCATTATTTATTGCTGTGATTACTGATTTGTCATTCACACTGTATTAGTAAATTTTAGCACTGAATTCTTTACTTGTTGTTTGTATTTAAAGAATTAAAACCATGAACAAAACTCACTGCGTAACTATTCAGTTGTACATCACATGTGTAAGCAATATCATGCGTTTTTAGACTAGAATCGGGGAGGGGGAGGGAATAGCCATCTGGAAAACAAATCATTTCATCTGGAGATCACAGTGAAATATTTTGGATATACAAAATCCTTGAGCTATTGTAACAATGTTTTATGGCAGAGATGTAAAATATGCCAGATGTGTGTCAGTTGGAAATTAAAAACGAAAAAATAAAATATGCAAATAACTCATTTGTTTGGTTAATTTTTTGTCACGATAGTGTTTTGCAACATTCTGTGTCAAAGAAATTCAGGAACATGAGAGGATGTTTTTCATTAATTGAAAACAAATGATTTGCTTCTAAACATAATTGGTTGTCATTTGTTTCTTCTTCTCTGCAGCAAATTGCAAAACTTCAACAGATTCAAATGACGTTCTAGATGAACAGATTTTTAAAATTAGATTTGAAATGCAGCAACCTGAAAATACTGCTGCAGACTTCATTGAGAAATTCAATGAAGCATTCACTAAAATGTAAAACCTTCCTCTTTATCTGGGGTTTCAAACCATCCTTACAATCAGTACACTGTGATTTTCTTGCAACCCGATTTAAAAGAAAATACTTGTCATTCATTTGTCCTCCATATAAATTGTAGCAGGCCCGTCATTCGATGGGGGAAAATCATCGGGACAGTGTCTCTTTGAGAGTTTTGTTCGCTGTGAACTAAAAAAAAGCCATGTGATCTTCCCCCAGTCCACATTGCATCCGAGTCGTGGCGCTCGATAAGCCTTCAGTTCTTTATTCTGCCATTGTTAGCAACAACGTCTATTCCCTTTACCGGGAAATCGTTCAGTCTATTTGTAGTTGCATTGGTTGAATATTTGGTTCCGTAATTTAGTTGCTGATATTTTTTCAGAACTAAGAGTCGTTTGGATCCCAGCTTTGCTTCATTTGATGTCGGCATCAGGTTTCAAATTCTGAACATCATGATAATCCCCTACAGTGTCTTTGTTGCTTTTCCATTGAGGCACAGATTTGAAGTTACCAATGCCTGTCTTCTTCTGTTGGAAATGGTTCATCGAGAACGTCTAAGGCACTGCAAAGCGATCCATGAACAAAGGGTGGCTTTGCTTGATGCACCTCCCAGTACCAAGAATGGATCTTTGAAATGAAAACAAAAAAAAATGAAAATGAAGAGCAAATCAATCAACATCTTAAAAAGAAAGAGCTCCATTCTGATAAAGGGTCGCATCTAAAACATTAACCTGTCTTAGCTATCTTTCTCTTTCAGATGTTGATTGACCCACTCTGCATTTTCACCACTTTATGTTCTCTCTTTCAAATTTCCAGAACTTTTTTTCTCTCCTAGTGAGAATTTTCCTTGATCTCCAGTTCAGAGTTAAAAATCCTTAACATTTGGGGTGGTTAAGGACTTGTTAAACTGAAGTGCATTTTAGCCAGTTGGTTAGGTGACCCCACGTCAAATGACCAGGGCAGAAAACAAGTCTTCTATGACCTGATAATTCCTTTCTGGCTCAGGTTGAAGTTATTATTGAAACCTCCAAGGTATCATCTCAACCTCCACCTAATGGTATTGAGATTTTTTCAGTGATCTTCAGCATAGCCGTCAATGCTCAATTATACCAATTTTTAAAACATGACTGCAGACAGCTAGGACATATTAGGCCAGTCTTTGAGCAAGGGCTACCTTGTTTCCAAACTAAAAAATGTTACACATGTTCATGACTTACTAACCACAGTTATTAATGTTTCAGTATTCCATATTATCATGCTTTATCATACAAGACAAGCACCAGCCCCTGCATACAATTGGTCTTCATCAATTCGTACCCAACTGCATCTTTTTCGATCACACAAGCCCACTGTGTTCTTTCTTCTTTGATTTGTTTTGGCAGATGGATTCATAGACTTTGATGTAGTTTCTGATTTGAATTAATTTTGAGAGTCTTTTGAATCCGAAGAGAGCGGAAGACGTGCTCGGCCTGTCATAGTGTCAGCGCCTGCTGGGCAGGTTTAAATTGGCGGGTTTGAATCCTGAGCAACATCCTGTTTGGGTGTGTGGTGAATATGGTATGATTCAATCCTGTTTTTGATAAGAGCTATCAACCTCTACAAATCAAATATTGCAAGATTGAGGTCCTGAGTAGGAATTTCTTGACAAAGTCTAAAATACTGTATCATTAGAACTTAAGTATATCCTTTGCTGTGGTGGGGTGGGGGGTGGTGGGCTCAATCAATTCTTGAGTGAGGACCATGTGCTGCCAAGAGACTCTCAAAAGCAAACTAGTAATTTCTGCCTTCTTCCTCCAGGGGACATGTGTTGCTCCTTACTTGGATTGATGCAATTAGATACTGTATCTTTTGTGTCCATAACATAGCTCCCAAAGTTTCTTTTCTGGCTAATAAAACGTTGTTATGTAACCCAAATATTTATGCAAAAGGAGCAGTTCCAAATATTTACATTGCTAAATGTTATTCGGGAAATACATTCAGAAGAATTATGAAGTTGGTTACAGACTTCACAGATGTAGTTTCATATGGAAATATTTTACCCAAACGTCCATGCGGTTCAATTTTCATGGGGTTGGCTACTTATACAATAGGCTTTCTGGCTTGAGTAGCTAAAATGTTCATGAAACATTAACAGTGGTAAGTTTCCACTATTTAATTTCCACAAAATGAAAATCAATGAATAATAATTTGGCCGATCAATCCATGATTGTTTGTGGGACACTGCTGTACGCAATTGGCTGCCGTGTTTCGTCCACAAAATATACAGTAAATTAACTTTACAGTATATTCTGTGAAGTGCTTTGAGACGTCTCGAAGACCTCATAAGGTGTGGAGTCATGCAGCGTATTAGTTAGAGCACTAGCCTCACAAGCAAGAGAACCTGTGCTCAATTCCCGGGGCGAAATGAAATGTTAGCCAAGTTTCTTTACTACACACGCATCTGTTTACCTAACAGTAGGTAGGAAGCCGGTTATTAGTTGATTGGGGATCTCTTTTCCGAGGGTAATAATCCCTCGAAAATAAATAAATAAATAATTTGGTCACACAATCCACAACTGTTTGTGGGAGAGTGCTGTGCGCAATTGGCTGCCACATTTCGCCCACAAAATATACAGTATATTCAGTCAAGCAATTTGTGACATCTCAAAGTCATGATAAGGTGCTACATCAAATGCATGGATTATTATTGTTATTTTCTTCCACTGCAGTTGCTAAATCTCCAAGGAAACGTCTTAGATTATATTTATACTGCAGTCACTGTAGGAGGGCGTGGGTCACCCCTGGAAAACAAACTTGCACCAAGGGTTTATTTTGATAAGGAAGCTACTGTTTTATACAGCCGTGTTCTCCAGACTCTCCCATCTCGCTCCAGCATCCAGCCTTATACTGGTGCTGATTCATTAGCAGGTTGCTGGTACCCAATTAGTACTTAGGGCTGGAATGTCAAACAACCCTGATTGGAGTCCAACCATTGTTAGCTACATTGATTTTAAACAAGTAAAAAACGTACGTTCCTTAACACATAAGTGGAGCACCTATATCCATAGAATGCAGCAACAGGGTTTATCTCCCTGTCACAGTCACACTGATCAAAATCTACATATTCAATGAACATTATTATTCAGATCTACCACATTTCCAACCACACGTTTAAATAGCACCCTGTTCCTATTTAAACAAAGATATTGTACAGAAAAAGAAAGTTGCATTTCACAATTTTAAGAATACGATTTTTAATGAAGTGTTTGCTGATCAATATAACTATCTGACACAATTGTTGGCACAGTTAAAAGGACTGTGGCGTTGCCCATCACAACCTTATTCAAAAGAATGACCAAGGTATAACAATCTGGGTAACAGGTACTATTACAACCTCATTTGTGTCTTGATGTAGTTTATACGGTTGTAGTTGAAGGATCAGAGGTCCAAACAATGTTTATCTTCGTATTACAATGCTGAATGATATATCCTCCCCCAGACAGGATAAACTGACAGCTGACGTGATTCAGGTGGGTTGAATTTTGGGAGCGAACCCACACAGTAAAGTTACAAAGACCAGCATTGATCTGCAAGAGCCATTGTCACTCTATGCATGTGGCCTGGCATTACCTTTGGTGTAAGTGTTGGCATACCATTGAAAGTCAGGAATCCCCACTCCAGCGCAGAGCATGTTTTACTGTGACTGGTGGGAAGATGTAAATTCTCGTTATTTCAGATCGGATATGGAAATCTCTGCTCCTGCGTACACTGGCTGGCAATTCCTTCAACTAAATGCTAAATAGTACATTTTAAAAGGAGTAGAAAAGCATAGATACCTTGGGGTTAACATAGAGAAATCTTAAAATATTTCATAATGTTGGTAAAGTGAAGGCAGGTGAACAAAGCTGTGAAGAAAGCTAATGGGATCCCAGGTGTTGTAAATCGGGGCAAGAGAATATGAAACAAAAATAGGCGAGACTTAATGTGTATAAATCATTAGTCTTCATTTAAGAGTATTGTGTCTAGTTTTGGTCATCCAATTTTGTTTTGGGAAGCCAAAAGTACAGCATTGTTTTTAAAAATCCAAAGATGGGTAAAAAAAATTGTTAGGAGTCATATTGGATTATATAGAATCCAATTGTCTGCTCCAAGGTGTATTGTTCTCTACCAATTTGAAATGTCAACATGACTAAAATCCCAATCAATCCCCCATTATCATGTTGGGTTATTCTCCATTGTTACCCAGTTCCTTGGTTCCTTTGCTGCCAAGCCAAAAAAAAATCTTAGTTTGCTGTAGCGCTAATGTCAACTGATAGTGATCAGCAAAACACTGGCTTGTATTTTGATCACTTCATGAGTTTGCACAGTTATATCACAGACTAGATACCAGAGGTACCACAGATTAGCATCCAAGTTGTAGTCAAAAGATTCAAAGTTTACCTGGGCCTCAGACCAAGTGAACTACACCAAAGGTACAAAGCACAGTATCATGCCAATATTTATGTAGTTTACACTGTTATTGGCCAAGAGCCTGATTAATAGATATGGGCATTTTACTATGCTGAAGAAGGACATTCATGCCATCGTGTCTATGGTAAGCAGTGTGAAGCACCTTGGGGCATTCTCCCGATGTAAAAGGCGCTATACAAATGTAAGTTTGTTGATGTTGTTGAAGTGCTTTGAGATATCCTGCTGACATGAAAGACATTAGGTAAATGTAAATTGCTTTG